TCTTTGTCAGGCGGGAGGAGCCCGTCAGGGAGCGGCGCTGCGGGCGGCGAGGGACGGAGGTGGGTCGTGAAGAGAACCGAGGCCCGTTGCGTGCCCGGGAGCTCCCCCAGTACCTGGGCTCCTCTCCGGGCCAGGCGTCGCCGAAAGACTGAGGGGCTTGGCCAGCTGGGCCTGCGAAGGGGGATGCGGGGATGAACCGGGCCCCGTTGTGGGAGCAGGGACAGAGGCAGGAAGGCAGGCCGAGGGGTTCTGGGCTGCGTTAGCCTTCGAGCGGGTGGGGTCTTGGGGCCGTGTGTGTCCAGGCAGGCTGCCTACCGTGCCCCTCCAGCAGGCGAGGTGCAGTGAGAGCCGTGCCACGGTAACACACCCACCTGCACCAGAGCAGCAGCGGCTTCCCAGTCCAAATCCTGGGCCTCTGAAATTCCTCCTTATTTCTTTTAATTGTTATGTTTCTGACTGTTTAAAAAAAAAATCAGCCCTTTAACCATATATTTTTGGTTTTGAGCTCTGTACTTTTGTTTTGGAAAACAGCAAGTCACTTCCTTTGTTTCTGATTAACCTTAGAAGGTTTTGCACCAAAACTAATTGTGAGCTGTCTTAATGACAGGACAAGGAGGCAGTTTATCCCATTTGAGTAAAATGGGATCGAAACAGATTGCACAGGAAACATTTGATGATGCAGTGCAAGAAAACATTACAGAATTTGAAATGGATCCAGAAGAGGCTGTGAGAGAAGCTGTGCAGCAGTTTGAGTCCCAAGGTATTGTGAATACATCTGCTTTTGCAGCTCAGATTATTATAGACTGAGGTTTTACATATCTTAAAGTTTGAGAGCCTGCATGCAAAGATTGATTGTCCAGTATTAAAGCCTTTGTGAAGCGGAACATAGACACTATGAATGCTAGCCTAGTTTTGTGGAGTAATTATGACTGAAAAACTGCTTTGAGTGAAACTGCAGGCTGCAATTTGGTCAATGAAACTAAACTTTTTTTTTTCCCTAGTTGACATTTAGCTAGAATTGATGCCTTGTTCCAGGACATATTTGACCATTATAGTTAGAACTTTAGCAACATTTCAGCATCATTATGCATTGATCCACACTTTACAATGTTTGTCTTTGTTCACTGTGGTTAATTTGAAAAATTTTACCCAGGCTCCTGTAACTAATGTTAATCTTGGTTTTGTTTTTCCTTTTAGGTGTTGACCTAAGCAATATTGTGAAAGCTGTGCGGCAGCCTGCCTCTGAAAATGGTCAAAAGCAAAAGCATGAAATTTTGCTGGTAAGAGCACAAATATGTTGTCTTCTAAAGATCAGGTTTATGTAATAGTTTAAGCGATAGACTAAGAATAGTGAGACATACCTTCTACTTCTGTCCCTGTCCCATTTCTTTGTGAGCTCTTCAACAAGGAGTTAATCCCATCTATTCTGCAAAGTAGGAATAATATAAAAGTTCAAAGAGCTAGCTTGTGCTTTTCAGTGGAAGTATCTGTGTAAGTGCAAAATGCCAGCACTTCCTGCCTAGGAAATGCAGAGACTGCATTTCATAACTTAGAAACAGATTCTTCTATTGTCAGGTAAAATCGAACCACTGAAGAACTTTATTGAAAGAAATACAAGTAACCCAAATGGTAGTTGTTGTCTGGCACTTCTGAGAGTAGATGAAAAGATTGAATACAGTCCCTCACCAGCAAGAATATAAAAACACTCATGCACACCATTGACCCCTGTGAAATGTGCTAGCTGGACCCAGTTTACCCACTACTGGTCAGACTGGTGTGACAGTGATGGCAGAAGTACAGAGAAGCCCCCATTCCTCCAAGGGTTCTGTGCATGAAGACAAAATGCTGCTCTTTAAGACAGCCATTTCTTAGATATGTCAAACTAATTATAAATTTAAAAGACAACTATTCTAAATAAACAAATCTGACTGACTATAAAGAACCGTTCTTGTTCCTTCACAGTTTGGATTGCCAGGTAACTCTTTTGTCTTCTTTAGACTTTAGATTCCCTTGGGAGAGCTGTGGCTGACTCCGATCTTGCTGAGATGGCCGAGCAGCTAGTGGTCTTCACTGATCAGTGCAAAGAACAGCTGGCTTTCCGCTACCTGGCTGGGCAGAATGGTGCCTATTCTGTGGTGTTCTCTGCCTGCCAGTTGGCAGCAGGAGACAGAAATTTAATGCTGAAAGCCTTTTATACTCTCTCTGCCATCTTGGATGGGCAGCCAGACCTGCTTGACTCTGCTGGCCAGGATCTACTGCTACAAACTCTGAAAGAATATAGGGAAGATGCAGAAATTATGCTGGCTGGGATCCGATGCATTCGGCATGCCTGTCTGAAACACGAGCAGAATCGTCAGGACTTTGTGAAAGGTGGGGTTCTCCCACTTCTGACGGGAGCTATAGTCCAGCATGGAGACAGTGCTGATGTTGTCCGAACGGCCTCCTCAGCACTCAGGATCATGACGTTTGATGATGACATCCGTGTGCCCTTTGGTCATGCTCATGATCATGCCAAAATGATTGTGTTGGAAAATGATGGGTTAAGAGTCCTCATTGAAGCTGCAAAAGGTAAAATTAAGTCTGACAGTTGATGCTAATCTTGAATCGTCTGTGCTTTCTTATCTCAAAACTGTGCTTTGTTGTAACTTGAAGCTCCCCAGAGATGATTCAAATTTGCCACTAAAAAGATGTTTAATTCTTTTGATGCAGTCTGCCCTGAGAGAGAAAAATAATGTGACTGCTCCAGAGGCTATCAGCAGCACCAAGGTGGCAGTTATCAGAGCTCTTGGTCAGTCTATCTAAGAAGTATTTTACAGCCCAGTGCAGATATACAGGCATGTTATCCCTGCTGAGGTGCTGCATTCTTGGCAAGAAAAGATATTCTGTCTCTGTCTAGATACAGAGTGAACAGGATGTCATCTGTGCTGGTCTTATATGTAGAGTGAAATACACTGTTTCCTGTTTCTTTTTTTAAATGAAGCAAAGTAAAACACCTTGATTCTGCAGCACCCTTCCTTGCTTGTAGTTACTGCATTCATCATCTCTCCTCTGCAGCATTCACAGATAACTCCAGTGTTCTCAGTGAACTGTGTGCCACCCTTTCTCGCCTCTCTGTCAGGAATGAATTCTGTCAAGAAATTGTGGACCTTGGAGGCTTAAATTTTATGGTGACTCTCCTGGCTGACTGCATTGACCATCCGGTGAGCGATATAAAGTGTACTTGGGATTGGAGGTAACGTGGCAGGGCGTGCTTTTCATTTTAAGGTCCTGGCTGTGAATGGGCCTTAGTCTATGCATTAAGTGCGGTTAGGGTTGAAACCCTACCATTGGTGCCTGTTTATGGCCTTATATACAGAACTAGGATACAGGTGCTCTGTCAGGTAAGAATTCTGAGCCCCTGGTTCATGGTTACTTCCTCTGATCTGCACGAGCAGAACTCTGCGTGCTCCCAGACAAGCTGAGCTTCTCTTTTTTCCACCATTCTAGCTAGAAGAGATTCAAGAGGATTTAGATGCTTGAGTCCCACAGGACTGATGTTTGATTCTTTAAACTTCTTTGAAAACCTCAGCCAAACAAACAAGATTCCTTATTACTCTGTCTAGCAAGAAAGTATGCCCGAGATACGAGTGACTGAGAATTGTTGCTTATCATAACTGGGGATGGCAACTTTTTAAATGGAGTTGCTGGGGGACATTCCAGTTGTATTTCAAAAGTCTGTAAAACTCTTCCTGCAGCTTTCTAAGCTGTTCTTTCTTGATGAACGCAGGACGTGGTGAAGCAGGTGCTGAGCGCCATCCGAGCGGTTGCGGGTAATGACGACGTGAAAGATGCCATCGTGAATGCTGGAGGAACAGACCTCATTGTGCTTGCTATAAGCCATCACCTTGGCAACCCTCAGGTATGCACCGAAGTGGTTGATGAAGTCCCACTGAGGGCTGGGAATGGAGATCAGGTTTGGGCTGCATAATGTAGCAGCGTAACTTGTCTCGTGTAGGGGAACAACACACAGCGTTGCTCTAACTTGTGATAAGCAGCTTATGCTGAGAGCGGGTACGTTCTAAGTACAGTTGTTAAATGACTGCAACTGAGTGATGTATTAAACTTTTAACATCCAGTTGTTGTAGAGTGGTTAAATGCATGCTTTGGCAAATATTTCTGTAAATGTAAAGATATGTCCACTTTACTATATTAGGGTTTTTTTCTTGTTCTGGAATCAGATGTATACTGGATACAATGTTTTACACCTCTGGGGTGTAAAACTTTATTTATATGCCCCAGGAGTAGGATGTATCAGTGGAAGAAACTTTAAAAAAAAAAAAGAATAAAAATTGCCAAAAAGGAAACAAACTCCAAACACTTTTCCTTAAAGCAACATTTTCAGCCCATGAGTGTCTCTTCCCCTTTGTCGTGCAGATCTGTGAGCAAGGTTGTGCAGCCTTGTGCATGTTGGCTTTGCGTAAACCTGAGAACTGTAATGTCATCATGGAAGGTGGAGGGGCGTTGGCAGCTCTTCAGGCTATGAAAGCACACCCACGAGAAGTGGCTGTACAGGTATTTGCCTTAGAACACTTGATTATTTAATGAGGATTGGTGTTGGCTGTGTTCACTGTTTCATTGGGATTTTGTCCTTTACTTGACAAATACCAAAAGGTTCTGAGTGTGTTGGGAATGCAGCATCTAAATGCAGGACTCCATACATCTGTCACTCTGATGTGGTCAGAGCAAAATTTAGTTTGGGTTTCAAATCCATCCAGGGCCAAGCGACTGTGGAATGCCATGCTTCTCTTCCAGGCATTACTTTTCCTCAAAAGAACAGGATGAGCATAGGCTCTTTCAGACCCAGCCTGTTCGATGTCCAATAGGAGACATTGCCATCTATTCTCGAGAGTTGAATAAAACATCTGTGTGGCAAGAAGTTAGCCTCTGGTTTCTCATGCAAGTCTCAGTAGGTTCTGTGTCCACTTTTGTGCTTTCCACAGTACTACAGTACTATAGAAAATATTTTCTGAAAGAGTAGTTTAAGCTAAGTGCCAGGGAAGGTACCTGGAACAGCATACAAGGGGGTGGAAAGGTGGGCCTGCTGTAATTGGAGAATTCTGTCTTAGCATTATTTAAAGAAGTACTTGGTATTGCCTGGCTTGTGTTTGAGATTTGCTGGTGGTGTGACAGAGGCAGGAAGGTTTTTTTATAAACTTCTGTGAAATAGCAGGCATACTTTTTGTCCATACATTTTATTCTTCCAGGATATAGTTTTGCTGCTGTCTACAGCATCTCACATTTGGATGCCCGGCAAAGATTCTTTAGTTGGAGCCAGATCTGCTTTGTGTGTGCCAGCATCCTACATGGATGGTATTTCCCTATTACCTTTTTCCTCAGAAACAGGCTTGCATGCTGATCCGCAACCTGGTCTCCCGGAGCCGGGACTTTTCTCAGCCCATCTTAGAGATGGGAGCTGAGAACTTGATAACAGAAGCTCGTGCAACGCACAAGGACTGCGATGATGTGGCCAAAGCTGCACTGAGGGATCTTGGCTGCAAAGTGGAGCTCCGAGAGCTGTGGACAGGTCAGAAGGGAAGCCTAGCTCAGTGAATCATCACTCTGCTGAGCAGTGGAGCTTCAAGATATCTATGAAGTTAAAGTGGGGAAACAAAGGGGCATGGATTAATTTGCAGTTACATTGGACTGGAATATCTGAAGCAAATGCCTGGCTTGTGAGGCTGCGGTGAACTTTTTATTGGGAGCTACAGCTGAAATGGCTTTATGCATTCACAGGCTGCAAATCAACTCTGTGTAGTAATCATTCCCTGAATCATCTAATGCCTGAAGATGATCTGCTCCCCTGTGTTGTTATGTTACTTGTGTACAGAACAGGGCAATTCCCACATGCTCTGCTCTATGCAGTAAGAGCAAAAGTGGATCTTTTCTGGTAGGATTTTGGTATGTACCGTGGCAGCTGGTTCTGATTTGTTCTGCTGCTCTCTGCTGATGGAGGCTAGCAGCCTGATCTGGTAATGGGATGGATGAGGAGGAATCCCATAATTTGTGAATGTGTTCTGTCCTGTTGTACTGTTCTACTAACTGTTACTTTACTGCTGACCATATTCTGTGTTGCTTCTTTGTTTTGGATTTTCAGGCAACTTAACATTTTAAACAAAAGCAGAGTAAGAATTTTGGATAGTATGGCCCAAAGCAACATGCATTGATGTTGCCATTTGCATCCAGGAGGAAAGTGCATGTTTTCCTTCAATGAGATGAGCAAGTTGGGGACTGGTAGCGAGGATGGTAGGTTCAAAGCAGGGACAAACTGGCAGTGGTACCACGCAGCAGGAAGACAGCCCTGTGGAGCCCAAGCTTTGGTTATCTCTTAGCAGGGCTGTGCTTGCCTGAATCCAAGAGTGCTGTAATTGTAATGCAGAGGCCATGTGCCTCTGAAGACAGCTGTGAACCTGGGGGCAAAACAGAGGAGGTGAAACATCCAGAAAGTCTCAGCTAAAAGCTTCTGTGGGCCCCTATTTCTTGCTGGGCTGTGTTATAGCCCAGCTCTGCTGCTGA